AATTCAAACTGTAGTATCTCTGCCCCTTAAATCCGTCCAGACAACAGGATATATACTCTTAGCAGATACCTGATTGGGAAATGAATAAACATTTTCTTTAGAGTTATTTATTTCATTTTTTACAATCCTTCCTCTTGGTTGTCACTTAGTTTTGCTGGTTTGTTTTCTTTGGGGAAGGGCTGTTTTCATGCTGTAAGTTTGCTTGCTAAAATAAAAAAAAAAAACAAGTGAGAATAATATTACTAAACACAGGATTTGAGAAAACAAACTGTGTGCTTTCCCTCTTTACTCAATGAGGGGGCTTTTTACTATAATTCTTGGTCTTAGTGTATGTGGCATGGGGGTATATATACCAACATAGAAAGACAATATAAAAATTCGCAATCATAAATATAAATACTGTGTATGTATACACACAGGTACATACATAAAATAGCAAACACACACACACACACACACACACACACGTATATAACTACACATATACATCATGACAGGAATTATTCTGAAAACCCCTTAAGTGTGGTGAATGTAGCAATGGGAACACAATTCCTGGCGGTCTTGGCCAGTCTGCCGTGATAGGGGCGGCCTCTGTTACTCTGATGGGACTGGGAAAACTGTCCCAGAGCTCTGCAACTGGTTCTCGCCTTCCACACACGAGGGCAGTGCGGCAAGAGCTTTCTACTATACCATCTGTACCTAAAAAGCGATACTGTTTGGACCGGTCCAGTTATGCTAATATCCAAAAACATAAACCATGGAATTAGCCACAGAAGAGAAGGAGGACTTTAAGTTGAAAAAAAGACAGGAAGAAAGGCCATACCAGAGCAGAGTGTTTTGGGTGAATATCCTGCAATTTACCGCCAGACCAAAACAAATTTTTATGGAGCAACAGGACTACTCAAGTAGCCACTTTTATGACAATAAACACCCAAAGCTGAAAAATCCTTTTGTAACATAATTACTGAGAATATATAGAGAAAGCAACCATTTAATCCGCAGCATGTGTTCTCCACCACAAGAACTCAAAAGCTGACATCAGATGGGGTGTGGCCGGTCTAGGCCCTGGAAATGAATTCTGGTCTGTTGAAGTCAAACAGTTCCCTGGACCGGTTTGGGATCTAGAAACACAGCAGATCTCACGGAGCCTAAGGCTGTTGACCTCCTGGGCACAGGGCAAGGCCCATCTGTTTACCAGCATTTTGATTTTGGGAGCTGTGGTTGTGGTGGATGAGTTAAGGCTGTGGTTTATAGGGTGTTGCCAGTGATTTAATGTTAATATTTTTCCCCTTACATTTTGTACATACTTAAGATTGAAAGCTGTGCGTAATTTGTAGGCTGAGAAATAAATAAAAAGAAAAATTTCACACAGAAACGGACAACAGGCAAAAATATATATATTTCTACTCTATTGGCATACAGTATTTTCAAAATGTAAATGATAAAGGTAAGCAACTGCAACCTATTTTAGGAGTTACTTATAAAAATGAAAGTTGTTTTCAACAAAGAATAAGATAATCATGGGTGTCGATTCTAAATAAATTAGTGTGGGGGGTTTTTAGCTCCTGTTCATTAATCAACATGGAAGCAGGAGTAGGGAGACTTCCTTATCCAAAAAAAGAGCAACTTTAAGAATGAGTCTGTGCCTCTAGTATTGTAGAATACAACTATGTTGCATTAATCCATAAATCACTGACAGTTGCATTTATGAAGTTAACACTCTAAGAAGATAGTTTCTCCTATATACAAAGAAAACCTTTAGCACCCCCAATTTAATGGGATTGTAACCAATGAAATTCACATAAATATGAAATTCCACACTTTCCATCTCATGCGATGGTAAAAACGTCCGGGGCCTTTATATGTTCAACTATTTAACAATATCACCTCACTGGTAAGGTTACTCAATAGTCTAGATTAACCAATACTGGCTGCAGTTCAAGATGCCCTCAGTGTAGGCCTAAAGGCCTAAGCACTTGTGTCCTCTTTGCAGAAAGGAAAAACAAGCAAAAACAAAAACAAAAAACCACACAAAATAACCCACCTATGTTTAAAACCAAATTATTTCATTAAGCTGTTAACAGCCTGCTTCATGATATAACATTTAAAACTCACTCAGTCTGTTAAAGTGCTTGTTTACTTTTCACAGGAGGTGGGGAAGTAATCCCCTGGGAATATGAATATATATATATATATATATATATATAGATAGATAGATAGATAGATAGATATAGATATATAGATATATCTATCTACATATATATATATATATATTTTTTTTTTTTTTTAAATGACCAGAATACTATTGCTATTATATGCCTGATGCACACTCTTCAGAATGAATGAACGTCAAGCATCCTGATTTGTTTTTCCCTTGGCCTGGGGAGAGTGAGCCCACGAGTGTTTGCAGTCCCTTCCCTTTCTGCACACACATAGGCTGCAGCTGTAGTAAACAAGCACCAGCCAAGAGTTGCTAAGGTCAAGGTCTCAAATGCTACAGCAGGACCCGTTTTCTCCCAAAGGACATTCGGTTACTGAAAAAGAACTTTCTGGAGAAAAAAAAAATATTAAGGGCTCACCGGCACAACAATTTTCATTCAATAAATAGTAACACAAAGCATTCCAAAATAAAGTTTATCTGAATGAAGTTTCTTTCAAATAGGCATTACCAAGTAATAAATCAACTGAAGCAACTCAAACAGAAATCCCTCAAAAATGACAAGCCTGACAGAACTGTATTCGTTACACAGTTTTATTTCATAAACTATAAGTCTAGTCCCAAATTTTACCAGCCTTCGTGCATTTCATAATAGTTATGAATTACAAGGCAGAATTAAACCTCTCTCCAAAATACATGACAAACGTCTGCCTATACCTCTATGCTCTAACTGCTCTCTCCCCAACCCAAAGCAGCTTACCAGACTCAAGCTAGTCTTCACATTGACCAGCCTGCAGCAAGAGGTACAACTTATGCAACTGAAATGTTTGTCCTTCAACATCCCATGTCCACTGAGCTTCCACAGTTAAACATTTTCTAGCCTGGAAGTATACCCCTTTATCACAACCAATTTTTATGTGGTTCTAAACAAATGTAAACAACATGGGAATGAGGTCTACAAACAGCACAGCCCAGCTCCTGGGGGTGGGGGGGGCGGTGTCGCTGTTTTTATTAAATGCCAATTCCAAAGAGCATTTCTTAGATGATGGAATACACCCACTCTTCGAAGTGACCACTCCTATTCCCATCACGAGCTGCGCCCTGTTAAAAGCCACCAAATTTATTTCAAAGCATTTACTTATCCAAACAACTCTATCCTCCAGTAAGAAAAGGGCCTGCAGGCGTCTTCGTGGATTTGCAGAATGACGTTATTTGATTGACAGATGTCTACTGAAGCCACTGGATGCACTTGCAGTAAATGTAAATAGAGCTGCTCACCTCCCCAGTGTTACTGAGAAACAGAATATTAAAGCTGATTTAAAATAAAATACCCGAGTGCTCGGCGGAGAATTCTATTAGCCAGTGGAATTGCTTAAAACAATCCATACAGAATGATACTTAAAATCTGTACGGTTAAATTAGAGAGCTGACAATATTAACCATACAAACTGTTTATCCAGATTACACATTCCGTTGTACTAATACTCTTTAACTCAACACAGTCAGTTTTTATCAGCTGAATTAAGGGTATTACTATTAAAGTATGCAAAACTCGAAGCGCAGGGTGAAGGGGGTTGGGAAGCTGCAGGGCATATAACAAAGGAATTGGTACTTTTTCCAAGCGTTTGCCTCAAATGCACTTCGAAACAGAACTGTTGAGTGCACCCCACCCTTTTCCCCAAAGATAAAAGTTTTCAAAGTTCTAATAGGCAGTTCTCTACCCAACAAAAGCAGGATTGATTCTGCCCGTAGGGGAGCATCTAACATGAACACCAACTAATGTCGCGGAGGTCAAGTCCCAGTCCTGGGAGCGAGCTTCTAAGGCAAGAAGTGGCTCCCAGGCCGTCTCCGCGGGCTTCCCGGCTCGCGTGGACGTGCAAAGTTGCCCCTTGTCAACTCCGGCCGGCTCCCCCGTAATTGAAAATAACAGCCACGGGCCAGCCCCTGGCTACTTCCATGGACCAGGCACCGTAGCAAGTGACAGTTACACATCATTACGACCAGAGACAATAATGAATGTAGCACCAGGACCACTATTCATGCCAGCAGTGTCATCTCCGCCTTAACCCTTTCCCCTCCACTCTCTCCGGTGCACACCCACAGACCACACAGCCCCGGTGCGGCGGCTATTCTCCGAACTAGCTCTATTCCTGGGGGCAAACTACTTCCACAACACCCCCCCCCAATTCAGCCCTGGTGTTTTATTTCTCATCCTTGGCAACTGTCAGCCAAACACTGCTACCAACAATTCCACTAGGGGTAGAAAAACATTTGCTTAATTCACGGTACTTGATAAGTTTAAAAAAAAAAAAAATTGGGGGGTGGGGGGGAGAAACGTCCTTCTTTCTTCTCCACATATCCGACCGACGCTACTTGCTCTGCAATAGCATCGCCCTCCCTCGGCCCCCTCCCGCTTCCCAACACTTTCCCCCTTTAAGAACACAGACCAACCAAAATGATTTAACTTGAGCAGATGACAGAAGGAAAATAAAACATGTTAAGAGAATACGGTCTGATTTGGGATGGCAAAAAAAAAAAAAAAAAAAAGGAGGGGGTTGTTTATTTTGATAAGAAACGGAATCGGCACAGACCTGAACAGAAGCTGCAGAGCAGGAGAAATTGTTTTCTTTCCCTCACACAGAGTCCCCCTCTCTCTCCCTTTCTCTCTCTCGCACACACACGCGCGCGCACACACTCACTCTCGCACACACACGGCGTCACCCGCGCACACTCACACGCACACTCGCACACGCACAGGCAGAGCCTCTCAGCTGCTCTCTGCAGTTCTCAGGAAATGAATGGGGGGCAACCCAGGGAACTGTTGTACTTGCAAATGACTTACCCGGATCACATGATGCGCTAAATGTAGGGTGGGCCGGTGGGTGGAGGCTGCCGAGACGCGAGCCCGGGTCTAGCGTGGGGAGCCTCGCCAGGCCCGCATCGAATTACCCCGGGGCCCAGCCGAGGGGGTTGCAAGACGCCGCTTCTCCTCCCTTGCAGCCCGCAGCTCAGGAAACCGGAGAGGCGCGGGGGGTGGGGTGGGGTGGGGTGAGGTGAGGTGGGGGGGGTGAAAACACCAAACCCCCAAACAAAAGAGCTCCGGGTCCTCCTCCCCAGAAACAAAGCCCCGCCGCTGCGGGCGAGCCCCGGGGTGGGGCCGAGGGCGGGGGCGGCGGCGGGGAGGGGCTCGCTCAGCAGGCGCTAAGTCGCTTTATTGCCATAAAATGGGGCCCCCGAGCCGCTCCGCCCGAGGATTAGGAGGCGGGCTCAGAGTGTGATGGTTGAAATCCCCTGTGGGAAACTAACCCCTCCCTGCTCGCAGAGGTAGAAGGCAACACCCACTGCCCGGCCCTCGCCTCGCCGCCCGGGCCGCCGGGCTGGGGGGTGGGTCCGCGGAGCCTCCACCCCGCCCCACCCCGCCCCACCCCTGCCCCCGCCCCCCGGCCTCCGGCCTCGGCCGAGCTTCCTTTTCACCTGCACCACCTTGCTGCGGCACCCAAAATAACCTACACATGGCCAACGGAGCTTTGGGAGCCGCCGGCCGAGGGGGGCCCGCGGGGCCTCGCGGCGGGTGGAGCCCCCGGATTGCAACTCGCCAGGCGAGGACTCGCGCTGAGCCGCGAGAAAGTCCCCTCTTTTGTGTCAGAGCGCGCAAGGCAGCCTTAGGAAGAGAATTCGGAGGCAAACCGAGCGCGGAGCCTACTCGGCCCCCCGCCCCCTCCCCGCTCCGGCCCGGGTGGGGGCGTGCAGGGAGGGGGCCGGGCGCCCGAGCCGTCCCCGCGGCTCACCCGCCAGCTAACTTGGAAAGGTGTGGGCGGAGCCGGCTCCAGCGGCCGGCCGAGGCTGCGGGCGAGGCGGCGCGGCGGCTCCCGGGGACCGCCCCCGGGCTCCGGGCATCGCCCGGGTCGGGCAACAATGGGGTCCCGGCAGGGGCAGTCCGGGCGGGCGGTGCCCTGGATGCTGGGGTGCGCGCGGGGGGTGGGGTGGGAGGAGGGCTGGGCGAGGAAGGAAGCGGGATCATTGTTTGGGTTCGGGAGCGGCGCACGTTGCGGACGAAGCGGGGGTGTCCTCCCTCCCGGGGCTTCACCTTGGGATGGATGGGGGCGGAGGAAGACGCATGCCTCGCTTGGGAAACCCGGCAGAAGGGGCGCCAGCCCGTGTTAGTTATTCGCGAAGGCAGGCGAACTTGCAGGAGCGGAAGGAAGCTGGAGCTGCAGACCCCTGCCGAGGCCCCGAGGGCTGTGGGGCCCGCGGTGTCGGAGAGTCCAGCCCGCGACCCTGTGCCCCAGTAGGGAGGCACGAGAAGCGAGCGGCCCCTCCCTCCCCGCCCCCGCGCCCGGGGAAGCGGATCCGCGGGATTCTGGGGCGGCAGAGAGGAGGCAGCGGCGGGGCACCGGTTCCCGCCGCGGCTCGAAGGGCGCGGGGTCAGCGCCGCGCCGGTGGGTCGGCGGGGGCGGGGAGGAGACCGGGCGGAAGCGGACGGGCGGGGTGGGGAGGAGGGCTGGTGGGGCGCGGCGGTCAGCGGTGGAGATGCGAGCGCCACTTTTCTTGCAAACCTAGGTGAGCGCGCTGGGGCTCCCGGGCCCGCCGACACCCCTGCGCGGTGCCCCTGAGCCCGCCCCGCGCGGGAAACCGCCCCGGCAGTGGGAAGGCTGCGAAGGGGAAGTTTATGTGAGGAGAGCAAGATTTGAAGTAATGTGGCACCAAGTGGGGTGGGGAGAGAAACAAGGGAGAGGCCGAGAAACAGGAAATGAGAGCAAAGGAACGACTTCTAGCCAGGAAAAGCCGTGTTCTACATTTTGTGTGGCATTTTCCAAACATCTCTAAAGGCCCGGTGTGCGTTATTAATGAAGACAAAGGCAGGGTACCGCCTGGTGCGGTCTCTGCCACCTGCCACAATCTGTACACGAGGAATGATGGGAAAGGTGGTCCAGCCTGGACGTCGAGTCCACAGCCCACTTCTGATCCTCACAAGACGAGTCAGTGGGCCTGCCTCTTAGACATCCGACAGTATTGAGAGGAGGGCTCTGCCCTGCTCTCGGGGTTCGGAAGAACAACAAATGGCCTAAGTGTGACAGTGTGTGAAAATCACAGACCACTCCTTAAGCAAAGTCATCTTAGAAGACGAAAGCTGTGAGAGCAGGAAGGCGAGGGATGCCCACGTGTGAAGGCTTGGGTGCAGCAGGAATCAGGAACCCCGAAGGAAAATGGGACCTGGAGGCGGAGGGGCCATTGCAGGGTGGGGTCTCTATTTGGGGAAAGCGGCTCCGGACCCCACCCCCTGGTCTGATCGCGGTTAACAGCCCCTTACACTGCACTACATCTGGAAGAAACATGAAAAGGCATGTTTGGAAAACGGTAGAATATCAACAAATGCAGTGTTTAAACGAAAAACTTGCCTCTACTAGAAACACTGAAGTTTCCCTCTAGGTGGGGCAGGGAGTGAAGGAAGTGAGTTTAACCGTAAGAGTGAAGGATGCTGTAAGAAATTATGTCATTGTGGCAGTTCTTGTACTAACAGCTCTTTCTCAAAGCTGAGTGGCGGACGGACCATAAATATGTTCTGTAGCAAGTGCTTTTCTGCACGTGGAAAAGCATTCCAAGCTGCACTCCCTTCCTTTGGCAACAGCCAGAGGCATGTAAATAGAATGACAAAAGATGGAAAAGTACAAGACTCCATTCCGGAGAGATAAGGAAATGAGGGGAAGGTCAGTGTTAATATCCAGAATCTGGGTAATGTGGTTAAAAGAAGGGAGTACATCAAATATTAGGGGGGAAAGTACTTGCCAAATTTTTTTTTAATTGTTGACAGATAAGAAAGAACAGAAATGTTCGATTAAGGCAACTCCCCAGATTTAGAGGAAAGGAAGAAAGAAGATACAAATTTAAAAGGCAGAATCACTTCATTGTATGATCTGGGGATGGGTGGGGAAGAGCAAAACCAAAGAATAAAGAAGATAGTTATCACTGAGAGTTAGGATACTGGAGTAAATTATGTGTGTGTGTCTGTACATACAATTGTGTATATGAACTGAAGTTCCAATTCAGTTCATTTACTCATTCCCTGTATCAAACTTAGCGTTAAACCAACTAACATGCGAACAGAAGGGGGAAAGGTAGAAAAACAGTACACATAGCCTAGCAAAAATATGTGCACATCTTTACATTTTGTCCCTTACCCTTCGCTTCCATTTGTGTGCAGGGATATGAAAAGTCAGAGAATGTAAACATGTCAAAATTTTTCACCAGGAATGTATAATTCTGACCGGATTCAAGAATGTTTTGAAATTACAGAATCATAAAATTCCAGGGTTGAAAGTATCTTTCATATGCCATTCTTTGTGGTACTTCAATTCTGTTTAAAACCAAGATAATTTGGGTCAAAGATGACTCATTTTCCTAAATGCATATACTTCTTTTACTTAGTCTTCATTATTACAAGTACCAAAAGATGAATGGATTAACAAGGCTGCTAGAGGTTGGTATTCTGAGTTTTTTAAACTTGGTATTCTTTTACCTAACATCTTGTCCCAGAAAAGAGAAGAACATACACGCACCCCCAAGGCAAATAATATCTCACTCAGTGTAAATGATAAGGCAGAATTTACAACTAGAGATTTTAAGTTGTTAATGTAAAAATAAATGTTACCTACCTGCAAACTTTTTGTCAGATCTTCTTAATTATACTTCACCCTTGGTAATACTCTGAAAAATTAGTGTCAATGATAGAAAAATCTTTTACAGTATTAAGAGTATTATCTGTACCACACCCTGATTTCTCTAAGGTAAAGACTCTCTTCAGTATCTGTGTATATTTAAAGTTCTTAAGCCTTTGGATTAGTGATGCCAAGGATCGCATGGATGATTTAACACGAATATAATTTCAGGCAGGGATGGGGGAAAATTGAGTCCATTTTCAGAAGTAGAAGCTGTGTTGAAAGACTAGACTTGATTCAAAGTCAAAATAAATGAGACTTCCAAAGCTTTAAATAAATCTTAAACTATAGTCTTGGCTTTTCCCTGGGGTCAGAAGTGAACGTGTATTGTCAGGTTTCCATGCCCTTTTTTTTCACATGTCGTATTTTGGCAATGATGTTCTGCAAAAGGAAGTTTTCCTGTTTGAGTTTGAGAAAGGCATGTAAAAAGCCTTACTAGGAATGCAAACAGCTGGTGATATTATGTGATTACATGGTAAACAACATGTTTTGATTTGAGTGAGGAGCTGTCTGGAAATTAGAGGAAAATGACATTTTATAACTTTGTTTTGTTGCAATCAATACAGTTTTGGGTCCTTCTAGCTTAAATATCTTTATTGCGCTCTCAGACGTATCTCTTCTTTTCCAAGCTCCTGCATAGTCATTTCTAGTCAAGTCTCCTGCAGCGCTCCTACTCCCACCCCCCCTCCCCATTCCCCCTCACTCCCCCCCACTCCCCCACCCGCAGCTCTGAAACTCTGGCCTCCTTCCCTCAGGTCATTCCACCTCACCTCCAGCAAAGCCTTAATTAGAGCATACTTACATTTAAAAACCCAAAGTGACACAAATTAGCATCAATACAATAACCATGACATTTGAGGGCCCCACGTAGATTTTCATGTATTTCAGACTTCAAACCCAGGTGGACACCCTGCCATGCCCTATCCTTCCTAGCTGCCTTAATAGATGGTTCACCGCCCCGCACCCCCCCCCATTATCGCTGTGGAATCTTCCCAAAATGATTCCATGACACCCCACACACAGATATACATATCCCACCCCCTCACCACAAAATTATCTTCCCCTTCTCGAGGCTTCTTTTAATGTGATGGAAAGAGCACCTTTTTGATTCTCCATTTTTTTCCACCCATTTAAATGATATTCCCCATACTTCGAAGGATTAACGTTTATTGGGTCCTCACTTGGGCCAGTATGAGATACACAGCAGGAGATAACCTTGCCCAAGTAGGCATCCAGCAAGTGTTATTTCCCTCACTTATCACTAGGGTACTTTCACCTTCCTGC